TGTGAGGAGGATAGATCCGCCCCAGAGGTTTGGGGGGTTGTGAGGAGGATAGATCCGCCTACCAGGTATGCATATCAGAGAGTGATCGCGTGTCCTTGCTGGGTCTTGTCTGCGTAGGTGATCGCGATGTGAGGAGGATAGATCCGCCCCAGAGGTNCCAGGTATGCATATCAGAGAGTGATCGCGTGTCCTTGCTGGGTCTTGTCTGCGTAGGTGATCGCGATGTGAGGAGGATAGATCCGCCCCAGAGGTATGGGGGTTTTGTGAGGAGGAGCGATCCCCCAGAGACATCCGAGCTGTGCTGCCAGAGGATCGGAGCATGGCTTTCGTGATCTCTGTGGTGGATCTATCCTCCACACAGCGAACACATATCCGCCGACAAGTTCCGGTAGTCGTGCTCCCATCTATGGGTTAAAGTTCCCGCATTGTGTGAAGGATTGATCTTCCTCACAACAACAACGCGGGTCATTGCCGGGTCCTGTCGGTCGTTGCAATGCCAGCCGAAATAAAGATATATCGCTTGATCTAGCAATTCGATTACTTTCTTCTAAGTTACAATCAATTTGGGTAAAGAAAATAATATTATTCTTATTGTATTGACTTTTCGATGAACACTAAAAAATAATTATTCATCTGTTTAGATAACCTACTCTCCCATTACGATAGGAAGATGATGAGAACAAAATAACTCCGCGTTGTGAGGAGGATAGATCCGCCCCAGAAGTTAATGGGTCGCTAGGGAAAACCCGAAAGGCATCTCACATTGGGGCTAGAAAGTGACGAAATTTGAATTAAGCTACTTAACAAAACAATATTGGATGATTGGACACGGTGAGAGGGGAGCACGTCTTCCATAACTTGTCGATGGATGTGTGCCCGTTGTGTGGAGCATGGATAAATCAGGTGAAAAAAACGATCATCGAAAGTTCAAGGGGTCATGCGTTCAGTCAATCTACGCAGAATGAATCGGTCCATATAGATCCGCCCCACAAGTACGGGTACTAGAGAGTGAACGCGTGTCCTTGCTCGTTCCTGTCCGCGTAGGTGATCGCGCTGTGAGGAGGGATAGATCCGTCCCACAGGTATGCGGGGTTCTGAGGATGGTCGATCCGCCCTAAATATGTGAACCTTGCTGCAGGAGAATCCAAGCATGGTTTCGGGATCTCTACGGTAGATCTGTCATCCACAAAGCGGGCACATAACCGTCGACAAGTTCCGGTAGCCGTGCTCCCATCTATGGGTTAAAGTGCCCACATTGAGTGAAGGATTGATCTTCCTCACAACAACAGCGCGGGTCATTGCCGGGTCCTGTCGGCAGATGTGTCCGCGCTGTGAGGAGGATAGATCTGCCCCAGAAGTTAATAGTTCGCTATGGCAAACCGGAAAGGCGTCTCGCATGGGTACTCGAAAGTGACGAAATTTGAATTACCTATACATGTGAAAAATGCTATATATGCATGCGGGGAGGATGTATCCTCCCATTGGATTTCGGGCTACCTGTCTGGAAAACCCGCGTTGTTGGCTTTGGTGGGCAATCTCGACTTCGCGTGTCTTAATAGGTTCACCGTCACTGTCTCACGAGCTTGATATCGATTCTTCGATACTGTGAACATAATCGCAGACCAACAAACGCCACACTGCTCTGCTCGACCTCTTCCCAACGCCAGTTCTTGAACAGGGCATCCAAAGCATTCCCAGGATAGACTGCCCAACGTCAACGACCATGCCCATTCATCTCTCTTTTCAACGGCTCCCCATATAGGTGCAAACGGTGCTGCGCTAGCTGAGCGAGGGTGGTTCTCATATTAGTCGTGGTGTCTCGAGGGAGAGGCTCATACATTATGGCTAATTTGATGCATCGTCGGAAGGGGTCTTGAAAGCTTTACCAGACTGTGGGTCGGATACATCCGACTCACAGTCAGTATTCCCCAGATGTGGGGAGGATGTATCCTCGCATGGGATTTCGGGGCCCCGCGACCGGACACAAAAGATCAATTGACTGTATATCCCTGTGGGGAGGATGTATCCTCCTTTGGGTTTTAGGCGTCTTGAGAATACTGCACCATTGATGTCTGTTGCCAATTCGGACCGTGCATGTCGACCTCGAGTCGCTTTCCCTGTGATAATGTTAACACAATACCCCCCTCATTGATGGAAAACGCTCTCCCGAAGGTCATCCGCCGACTGATTGGCACGTCCCGAGGGTGGTCCCCACGACCGCCTGATTCGCGAGCCCGTTATCCGGTGTCTATTGACAAGCTGCTTTTCCAAGGCCTCGCTACCAAAGGCAATGATCAAACGAATGCGTATTCCTGTGAGGAGGATGTATCCTCCGCTGAGTTTTTGACGTCTGGAAAACTGCACCACTGAAATCCGTCAGCAATGTCGACTGTGCCTGTCTACAACGTTTCACTTGGCAACCGCAGGCGACAGCCTTCTACAGGTTATCTTTGGGCATCCTCCATCTAAAGCCTATCTTCTCGCAGGGGCCATCTACAACCTATCTCTGGGCAGCCGCCATCTAGAGCCTATCTTTGGGCAGCCACCATCTAGAACCTGCCGTATCGCAGCCGCCAGTCAGAGCCTACCTTTGGGCAGCCGCCATCTTAGACATATCTTTGGGCAGCCGCCTCGCGACCGATCTTTGGGCGGGCGCCATCTACAACCTATCTCTGGGCAGCCGCCATCTAGAGCTTGTCCTTGGGCTGCCGCCATCTAAACCTACCATGCCGCAGCCGCCTTCCAGAGCCTACCTTTGGGCAACCGCAATTTAAGTGGATCTCTGGGAAGCCGCCATCTAAAGCCTTTCTTTGGCCAGCCGCCATCGGAAACCTATCTTTGCGCAGCCGCCATCTAGTGCCTATCTTTGGGCAGCCGCCATCTAGAGCCTATCTTTGGGCAGCCTCCATCTAAAACCTATCTTTGGGCAGCCACCATCTACAACCTACCACGTCGCAGCATCCATCCAGTGCCTGTGTTTGGGCAACCGCCATCTAACGCCTGTCTTTGGGCAGCCGCCATCTAAAGCTTAACATCGGGCAGCCGTAATCTAAAGCCTATCGTTGGACGCCGCCATCGGAAACCTAGCTTTGGGCAGCCGCCAGCTAGAGCCTATCTTTGGGCAGCCTCCATCTAGAGCCTGTTTCTAGCCAGTTGCCATATGAAGCCTATCTTTGGGCAACCGCTATCTAAAAACTATCTTTGGGCAGCCGCCACTGACAGCCTACCAAGTCGTAGCCGCGAACCAGATCGTACCTTCGGGCATCCGCCATCTAAAGCATATCTTTGGGCAGCCGCAATCTAAAGTCTGTCTTTGGGCAGCCGCCATCTAAAGCCTATCTTTGGGCAGCCGCCATCTAAAACCTATCTTTAAGCGACCAGCATCTAGAGCGTATCCTTGGGCAGTTGCCATCTACAGCCTACCATCTACACCCAATCGACTGAACGCAATGATCAATGACTGCATATTCCTGTGGAGAGGATGTATCCTCCTCTGGGTCTTCTGCGACTGTAAAACCTTCACCACAGGAGTCGGTTGGCAATGCCGACTGTGCCTGTCGACCTAGAGCGGCCGTCTTTTTATCGTCGATCGACAACGGTTCTTTGATGCCTAGAACACAACGCTTTCCGGTGTTCGATAACAGGCGATAAGGCATCGCGACCGGACGCTAATGATCTATGGATTGCATGTCCCTCTGAGGAGGATGTATCCTCCTCAGGGTTTACAGTGTCTGGAAAACCTGCACCGATGGTGTCAGTTGGCATGGCCGACAGTCCCGGTCGAGCAAGAGACGTCGTCCGTTTCAATTATGTGGTACCGTGAACGCCGTGCACTCTATGCCTGTCGACAGAGAGCCGTCGTCGCTTCCGTGCCGACTGGAGAGCTGTCGTGCACACTACTCTGGGTTTTTAAGCTAGCCGTTTGGAAAACCAAGTCCGCTTTCCGGTCTCCGATAACAGGCGATTAGGCTTCGCTACCGGACGCTAATGATCTACGGATTGCATATCCCTGTGGGGAGGATCAGGGTTTACGACGTCTGCAAAACCTGCAGCAATGGGGTCAGTTGGCAATGCCGACTGTCCCGGTCGAGCAAGAGACGCTGTCTGTTTCGATTATGTAATACCATGAATGCAGTGCACCCTGTGCCTGTGGACGTAGAGTCGTCGTCGTTGTCGTACTGACTGGACAACCATCTCAGGGTTTTTGTGCTAGCCCTCTGGAAACCTGAGTCAGCTTTCCGGTATCCAATAATAGGCTACTTTTCAGTGGCCTCGCGATCGGATGCCAATGATCAAATAGCTGTGGGGAGGATGTATCCTCCTCAGGGTTAACGTCGTCTGGAAAAACTGAACGGCCATTGGTGTCGGTTGGCAATGCCGACAGTCCCGCTCGAGCAAGAGACGCCTTCCCTTTTGGTTATGTGATACCGTGAACGCAGTGCACCCTATGCCGGTTCTTCTCCCTTTACAACCGCTCCCTACGTAGCTTCTTCGACGCCTCGTGACTGGTCGATAATGATCAAAGAACGACATATGCTTGTGGGGAGGATGCATCCTCTTCTGAGTTTTTGTGCTAGCCCTATGGAAACCCGAGTCAGCTTTCTGGTGTCCAGTAATGGGCTACTTTTCAGTGACCTCGCGACCGGATGCCAATGATCAATGGACTTCGAATAGTTGTGCGGAGGATGTATCCTCCTCAGGGTTAACGGCGTCTGGAAAAACTGAAACGCCATTGGTGTCGGTTGGCAATGTCGACCGTCCCGCTTGAGCAAGAGACGTTGTCCCTTTCGGTGATGCCATACCGTGAACGGAGTGCACCTTATGCCTGTCGAGCTAGAGCCATCGTCGCTGCCTGCCGATTGGACAACTGTCGTGCACACTTTTCTGGTCTACGCCTTCCCCACTTCGGTCCGTGGAAACCTGAGCCAACTTTCTCGTGTTCGTTAACAGCGTCTGGAAAAATTGAACCGCCATTGGTGTCGGTTGGCAATGCCGACAGTCCCAGTCGAGCAAGAGACGCCGTCCCTTTCGGTTATGCGATACCGTGAACGCAGTGCACCCTATGCCTGCCGAGGTAGAGTCGTCGTCGTTGCCTGCCGACTGGACAGCTGTCGTGCACACTACTCTGGTCTACGCCTTCTCCACTTCGGGCCCTGAACAGCTGAACAAAAGCATCCCCAATAGACTTCACAATGCTACGGATAGTGCGGGTAGTGCTATATTTGACAGGACGGTAGGATCATGTCGGTTCTTCTCCTTTTACAACCGCTCGAGGTCTGAGCTCCGAAATTATTGTTAACATGATGCTGTGTAGCAAGGGGTCTTACTAACCTTATGGGATTGTGAAGCGGAAGGATCCGCCATATAGCTTACGGTGTAGCCTAATATGCGCTTTTGCTGCCCCCTTTGGACATGATGCATCGTCCCAAGGGGTCTTACAAACCTTATTGCGAAACGGATGGATCCGCCATACAGGTTACGATGTAGCCTAATTATGCACGCATGCTTCCCCCTTCTACTTGAACCCCCGCACATACATTGGACTAAGTCCTTATGACTTGTTGCCGTCTGCTTCTGTTTATTGTGAGCAGTCAAAATTCCATTTCTACCTTTGTGCAAATTCTTAACTACATGACGACTGTTTTCTGTACGCAGGGTGATGTGAAGTTGCAAGACCCTCTCCTTTTTCCGTAGGTCTCTTTTCAATTTCTCACCTACACTGCATGCATCTCGCCGAAATGTTGCTGTTCATTTAGCCGAGTGACTTGTGTTATCATTTTGGAGCACTGGTAGTCACACCGGCGAGCTCGTCATATAGCGTTCCATCGCCAATTCCAGGGACATCTTCTTTGCACAAGGGTAATAATGTGGAACGACAAGACTTCATCGAGGATTGTTCACAGCAGTCGCAAACATGGAACACTGCATGAGCGATACGGAAGGTACGTAAGGACGGAGCTGTGCATGCGGGTGTTAGACTTCATTCCTCGCATGATCCTGATAGCGGCATCCAAAGGCTTGTGGGCAGTGCCAAGATGTCAAGCCGAGGTGGTGAGGAGTACTTGGGTAGCCTTAGCTGTAGTGTGACGGAATATGTAACCACAGGAGGAGGTTGCGGGACTGAACATTCATCCGCCGAATTATTGTCTACAACTGGGGCTGTTTCGCAAGAGAACAACTTTAACGATATTGGATCTCATGGTGTTCCTCATTCTCATTCTCACGTTCGTGGACACCATACTGGGTCTAGGGATGATAATGAGGTGTCTACTTCCCCTTACTCTAAGGATAACACTTCACGTAGTGAATCTCATTAGGAAAGAGATATTCACTACATTCTGCCCGCACCATTGCCCGGAGAGAAAATGCCATACCACATGGCCAACAGAGCCGCTACGAAACGAGTCCAGCGCAAAAGAGCTTTGACTAAGCGTAGGCTAGAATCTCTTCAACGTGTGCGTGGTATGCTTTGTTGTAGAAAATTTTGTTGTGCAAATCTTACTGCTGATGATGTTAGGCCAGTCAGGGAGGGTTTGTACTGCAAAACATTTGCAGACCGGAGGAAATGGTGGTTGCAAACAATACACGACTTCATTGTAATGGAGGGTGATGTTGAGCGAACTGGACAAATTCTATGCAGACAAAAGTTGTGCGTGCAAGCGTATTGTAATATACTGGGTATTTCACGAAATACCTTTTATGTTTACAAAAGGATGTATCACAACAGTGTCGTGCACGCAGAACACGGTCGTACGGGTATATGTAGTCCTTCGAACAAAGTAGTCACTATGCTCGCATGCATGAAAAGATTCATTGACGGTCACGCTGATGATATGCCAAATGAAATGGCTAGAAACGACAATGTTTGCAGATCACGCCGTAGGATGCCGACTGCTTTTACCAAAAGATCCATTTATGAATCCATTCAATCTGACTTGAAGGCTGCAGGACAGGAAGTCGTCTCTGAGTCTACCTTTTACGCCATGTGGAGCAAACACTTTTGGCACGTTAGTATGGCTCGATCCAACACATTTAAAAAATGTGCTTTATGCAACTACTATAAGCAGTGCATAGCCAAGGTGAAGTGTGAACGAGACCGTAAGAAGTTTAAGATAAAGATGAAAGAACATAAGGAGCGGCAAGTAAACCATAAGCAAGATTACTGTCTTGCAAAGCTTGATTCAATATTGCGTCCTGTTGAGCATCTCTGCCTCATAATTGATGGCATGGATCAGAAGAAAACCACATCGCCTCACATCGGGCAGGCAAACTACTCAAAGGACTTGCAACGCGACAGGATGATGAGAACCACTCTTACGACAGTAATCGCGCACAACAAAGATCCTTCTATTTACGTATACACGTACTTTCCATACTACAAGCATTCGCGTACTTTAAGTATACACGGCAGTAATCGCTCACGACATGACTCCGAACATTACATTCAGGTAAGAGTTAAATACTGGATTCCTACGGGGAAATCACGTTCGCTTAAGGAACGTTATGAGAATGCGTGGGAGAAAAAGTGAAAAAGATTTGTTGAGGATGAGGAGCAATGGCAGAATGTTGATGCGGTGGCATTCGCATGGAAACTAACATCGAGAGGAAGAGTTTTCACCAAACCATTCACCTCGGGCCTTGTAATTTCGTCTAAAGTCCGGGTTAATGCACTTGCTGCTCTGGTTGGAGAAGATGGTGTTCATATAGATGATGGTGTCAGCGCAGAAAATTCTGAGGGAGTCGTGGATAGTGTTTCATCAAGGGCAGGATTTACGGTATGAGGTGACTCTACGGCGATCCAAAGACCACCATGTCCAAGGTCGAAAATTGATCCGGAACTCTGTATGAGGAGAACATATTGTCGTGCTGGACTGTGTACAACACTCTTGACTCCATGGAATACATCGCGTAATGATCTGTGATCTCTCGATTACACGCTTCACATCAACAAGAGTTCTTAATCAATTTTTGACCTTCGGCGTGGGGGCCTTTTGGTCCTTGTAGCCTGACCTCAGGCTCTCGATCTTGACCTTAATGAAACACTGTTATTGTGACTTTTGTCTTTTGTAGCGTACAGACCGTCTTTTGACATACTTCAAAAAAATGGTTGGGAATGCGAGCTTCACTGAACGATTTGCGATCATCACAAAAGGAGGAGCGTTCCTTCAAGTGCGAAGTGGGAGGACGGACAATGTTTGTCATCATGGTGAGGTTTACTGATATGGAAAATTGTTTCGATATGCGAATATATAAGCGTCGAGGAGAAAACTAGATGCTAGAAGATTTTACAGCAGCTTATGTACAAGCTTCAGATGTTCTTTTCGCCTTGAGACGTGTTGTACTCAGAGGTGGGGGTGCCATTGAAGGTTTCTCGTTTGACATTACGCATTTTGAAGGTCTGCCTCAACCTCCAATCCCAGGTTGCATGGCAGACGGTTCAACATGGGAACCGATACTGAACGCTCTGCGAAGAGCCTTCTTCTGAATATTTCAACTTTTTGATACTTTGAGTAGCGAGTCTAATGATTTTAGAGTATTGTGTTACGATGTCAGATTAGTGAACATTTTCATAGTATAGGTTTTTTCTTATCATTTCGAGTTTTCAACACTTTGAGTGACAAGTCTCGAAATTTTCAAAGTTTTGTGTTGGAATGTCACATTAGTTAAAATTTTCATAGTGTAAGGTACTGAGGGTTTTTTATTCATCCTAGGTTCTAGCCTTGCAAACTGTTGGTTATGTAAAAAGTTTGCAAATTTTCAAAGTTTTGTGTTGGAATGTCACATTAGTTAAAATTTTCATAGTGTAAGGTACTGAGGGTTTTTGATTCATCCTAGGTTCTAGCCTTTCAAACTGTTGCCAACAGTTTGATTATTCAAAACTTTAGAAGTAACTGTTATAAATTCACAATATATGGACCATGCAACTGTTGTCAGTTTTCAAGACTTA